AAAGTATGGACAACTGTATCTACAGTTTTTATAAACGGTTGACGATCAATTTAAGAATTGACATTGCACTCTTTCAACTTATTATTCATTCAAACATGTCACTGACATTTACGCTCACCGGTAAAAGTAGCGTCCTCGCGGCCTGCTATTTTCTGGCCGTAGATTTGAGCGATGGCGATTACGAGTTCGGTCTGACGAACTTTGAAATCTATCATGCGATATCTAATGTAAATTCATTGAATAATAAATTTTACTTTCATGAAAATGACAAAGAAATTATCATTCCTGAAGGATCGTACGAAATACGTGACATAAACAGGTATCTAAGATGTGCAATTCTACAATTTTATCCTCATGAGAGAGAAAACGCTTCACAAAGAGGATGAACAGTATTGACTATTCCTGCCAATAACAATACAATGAAGAGATCAAATGCTTATCGAATAAATTTCCAAACCTTAATATTGGATTGCTGTTGAGATTTTCATCGAATCATGTGTTGGAACCATGACAGTGATACGAATCAGAAGTATCGATAAATATCATCAATGTAAAAATCATTCGCATTGAATGCAACGTGACTACAGGCGCATACAGCAACGATAAGTCCGTACACACGATGAATTTTCATCGAACGTATCACCAGGATATAAGATATCGAAAAACTCAACGCAGATCATTTACCTTCCGATCATCGTACGAAGCATTACGGATCTGACGATTCGCATTGTGGACGATTGCTTGATTTTCGCGAAGAAGAAATCACGTTTAATTGTATGTACGGAGGCGACAGCAATAAAGAGATACGACAACGTGAGATGCTTGATCTGAACGAGCAGGCGAAACAGACAGGGGACATAATTTTTGCCACTAGGTAGCGATCAAAAATATTCGAGCGTTCAGTAGAAAGAAACTCATTGCGTCGAACGTTAAATTTTTACAATCATTGGGTTTTGTTGTACGAAATATTTGAGATGGCTGATATCTTGAATATTGGAGGCGAACAATCTTTGACGATCATATCGTCAAGTTCGAGTTTCACACGTACGTCGACACGATGTTTGGATATAGCGACGAGATAAGGATATCCATACAACAGCAGGATTTATATACATTACTGTATGAAAGCATTCTCTACGTCGAAGGTAGATTGACTTCAAAAGAAAAAAATGTACAAAAGCAATCAAATCTTGGATATAATTGTGTGGCGTTCATGTTCGATGAAATTCGATATGAATTCAACGGTGTGGAGATTAATCGCAGCAGAAACGTTGCAATAACTAGTCTTATGAAGGGTTATGCAACATTTTTTAATAAAATCGCATATAGTTTACATAATGCTGGATTTATCGACTTTAGTGATACCGCGAAAAGCCTAATGACAGACTTTAATTTTTGTGTACCACTCATATTGTTGGGCTTTAGCGAAGATTACAAACGTATGGTAATTAACGCTCACGAATTAATTTTGATACGAGCGCGCAACGGTAACAATTACATAGTGAGATCCAGTGACACAGCCGACTCTTGAATTATTCAAAATACAGTGACGAATGCCTCACGTTGCGTTGAACGAAGTTAATAAATTATCCATGCTGCGCGCTTTAAAAAGCAGACGATATCTGAGTATGAGTTTCCGTTCGTGGCGTTTGTATAAGTACCCCCTATTGCTGAACACAACGCAAGCATTCCTAGGCCATCAAGACTGCGACTCAGCTGGAAAAACCACAGTACATTATCTTTGGTCTACAGATTGATAAAAAAAATATCATGACAGCACGTAAAACTTACTTTGACACCTGTAAATTAATCAATGTGAAACTTTATCTAAACTCTGAATTTTATCCGTACGATGATCTGAATCTAGACTTTGAGAAATGCAGAGCCGCTATTTTATATGATATATACGTTTCCGTACGTCAATCCGTTCTTACTATCAAATCCCTCGTGAAGAAATGAACTGTCATTTCAATTAAATTCCTCATTGAGAGATTTTACTCTAATCATTGACTGCTCGCGACAAAACGAGTCCGTCAAGAGTGGCACCGTGGATGTACGATTAGAATTTGAATTCAAAGAGAATGTACCCGCGAATATAACCGCCTATTGCCTTATCATACACGACCGCATGATCGAATATAGCCCAATGTCAAATGTAGTACGCAAGATTACATAAATTATCATCACCAAAAAATACCTTCCCCCTCTTTTTAATATATGAGATAAAATCCAAGTTCCTTTATGATCAAGCACAGTTTCAAAAAATCGTTCATCATAATATACCAACGTTTGTGGATCTGCAAGGATTTATCGTTAGAAAGAAATTGTCGTGAAGGAAATGGCGGTATTGAGAAACGGAGCTATTCTCTCTCATTATATTTTTACATGTCTCATGCCATGGAACTTATTGACAAAGTCAGAAAAGTATTGCGCTTCCTGACTGAGTGCTTATCACTATGGATTGCAATGGGAAGACAGGATGATCCCGTACAGCATGATGAAACGCCTGATTACAATGGCTGTAATTGGTGTGGAAGAGAAAAACGACAAGGCTCTTGTATACTTAAAGAATGTAAAAAACGCGAGTGGCTGGCTGGTATACTTGATAGCGACCATTCAATAATTGAGATTCTGGATGCTGATTACAAGGATATAGATTCTTTACATAATCTAGATGTTACTAATACTATATGATGTGAAAAATATGTTAAGAATGCGCGTTACAGAATGTATTTAAAATATATAACTGGTGGTTGCAAAACCAGAAGAAAATATATCAAGTTTTAAAAATAAAGAATGAGATTTTTTTAAATACATTTTAATTTCTTTTCCCTATCCCTATAATTAAGAATCTATCAATAACGATAGTTGTTAGTATGTATATATAATAGTTTAATAAGTGTTCGATAGTTACTCAATAATATAGTTTTAATAATGATTCGATAATTAGGAACGCTTGGCCATTTGTATTACTAAACATATTATCAGTTGCTAAATTAAAATTATTGCTGAGTTATATTATTTAAAAAATCGTAAAAAATAAATATCTATTTAGTAAAATTGTGTGTGAAAGAAGAAAAAAAAAGAGAGCGCGACGGGAGGAAGAGAGAGCGCAAATAATAAGTATAAGACTGCAACGGGTGAAAGAGAGAAAACTGCATCTTATAATAGATAGGAGAGAGAGAACAATAGGTTAAAGAGAAAACGCAACTGGTAAGAGAGAGAAGGATCGAAATCACCTTCCCCCTCTAACACGGACCTTCGGTGATGTACTTTCCCTTCTCTCAAATCCAGCGTCTGTGAAGCATTTCCCCCTCCCTGACACACATACATATACATCGTATATGCACTAACACATAGTGAGTTAGAATCCCTAAAGTTATCCTACTTATATAAATTTCACATATTTTGATGAAATATTTTTTAATGACTTTGAAAATTATATGTGTTTGTAAGATTTATCCAATTTTGGTTTTGATTTCGGTTTCGAAACCAAAATTGAATAAAAACCGATCGAATATTCGTTTCGACCGAAGGTAAAAAACTGGTTTCAGTCTCTCTAGTCGAACTCTACCGAACACACCACGTTAAATGAGGAGGTTCCTACATAACGCATAACACGTAATGCATAAAAAATATACCAATCAATTAATCCTATGCTTTTTCCTTTCCATAAAATAAAAAATTCTAAATTCTGAAATATATAATGAACTTCCTAAAATTAAATAAGCTATTACTTAAGTTTTAAGTATTAAGTTATAAGAAATTAACCAATCACAGTCTAATGTAAGAAGAATAATCGATTATGATTGGTCAATTAATTCTTATAGCTTAAGACTTAAAGCTTAGGTAATGCTTTATTGTAGAAAGCCCAAGTATAAGTGTAAAGACTGAAAATGATTTTGATGCACAGTTGTAGCACAAGATATATACTTAAAATCACGTGGAAATATTTTTTTTTTAGCACAAGATGCAGTATAAATTGATAAGAACTTTCGTTCCTGGATTGTGAATTCAAATTGCACTATAATTAAAAATAATTAATATTTATAAATATTGGGTCATCTAAAAAGTATCCGCGGTACTTTGTCAGTAGATATATGACCATCAACACACATCTAGTGACAAAGTACCGCGGATACTTTTTAGATGACCCAATATTTATAAATATTAATTATTTTTAATTATAGTGCAATTTGAATTCACAATCCAGGAACGAAAGTTCTTATCAATTTATACTGCATCTTGTGCTAAAAAAAAAATATTTCCACGTGATTTTAAGTATATATCTTGTGCTACAACTGTGCATCAAAATCATTTTCAGTCTTTAAACTTATACTTATTCTGAATAGATGTAGCAGTTTTACAAAATTAAAGTAAATGCTATTATAATACTTTTTAATGTTTAAATAATATTACAGTAATATTAAATAATGTTACTTTTAATAATAATAATAATAATAATATAACATTATCAGGAGTGAACATATAACCATTCATTAATATTTAGAAGGATATTATTCAATATTATATAATTTTAATAAAATATTCTTGAAATGTCACATTTAATATTCTAAGAATATGCTTAAAATTAATATTACTTAATATTAAATAATATTATGCGTCTATAGGGATAATACGATATCATCTGCACCAAGAAAAATTCCAAGAATATCAAATTTTCGCATTTTATATAAAGAAATTAGTCATTACGATTTAATTATTTACGCCTAGTATCGCAACACGATTCGCACCGGTTATTTATTACCTAGTTCCGAACGTAAGAATATGAACAGCGAATACGTCGTGTAATCGTAACAGGCTCAAGTGACACGTATCTAGCTTTTGCATTTCACAATTTTTTCGAATTAATTTTGCTCATTGTGAAACAAGACACGTCTCAGATGAATCGGCTGTTTCTCTCGAATCGATGTTTTCACAAATGCTAGTATAGTATTGTATACGGGCACGACCATGACGAGATCTCGTCGTCGATGATATGGGCCGCATGCGCCGAACGTGCGTCAGTAGTATAAGTGGGCACTTGAGTGACTTGAGGCGACTTGACCACTTGGGCAGTGAGTTCGCTGTGGCAGTGAGTTGTTGCGAGCTAGTGTGGTAGCAGCTGATCGGTGAAGGATTGAATTTTTCTGCGTTCTCACATAATCTAAATTTTTCTCATTTCGGGTCTCCCTGTATCTCCCTACATAAGATTTTCCTAATTCGCAGCAAGACGACTTTCGGTCTCAACTTGTGTTTTCCGCTTTCAGCTGATTTAACAATACGCCTGACGTAGTAGTACCAACACTTGTCGTATCATTAACGCCGAAAAAGGTAACGTATTCTTCACCTGCAAACACGGACAAATGCTGCGTCACCCTGTCACTTTCTCCTTTTCCTTCGGTCCATACATTCTTACATATGGCCATCGATGATTATAATTCAGTTTTTTTCCATTCTATTTTTTTGCAAGCTTCGGTTTGAAGTCTAGGATGACAGGTTATTATCTAACATTAACGTCCCCTTCTCTTTGCTCGTTTTCTTGCACGCGAATTATGCAATTCCCAGAGATTGAACAGAGATTGAACATTTGTAATTAGTGGATTGAGATAATCTTCAGATTGTACACCGTCATGCTACCGTCGGATTTTTTTTTTATTATTATTTATATTCGGTATCACCTGTAGATTTATTTAGTTTGCGTTTGTACATACATATACGCTTCAATCTCTTTCTTTTATAAATTAATGTTGAAGTATTTGCATAACGTTACATATTTGTTGATTTTCATTTAACTTAATATATTATATATGTACAGGATGATTGAGAGAAGTATAGATTTTATTCTCAATATTTACATAATTATTTTATAAGAAATTTTAAAATTTTGCTGCTACTAGTAAACGCTAATTAATAGTAACGTAGCATCAATGCTATGATTTTATACTCAACTATGTAACTGTTATGTATAACACTTGTGTACAACAATTTGTTATATTACATTGATATTATTGAGTGTGAAATTACAATATTGATGTTATGCGTTTACTGTTAATTGATTTTTACTAGAAAATAACGTTTGAGAAATGAAAATAAAATAGAAGAACATGTAAATTCATCATTTATTTACAATTCAATATTATAATAAATACATGCTTAATGTATTCCTTAAATTTAAGCATACTGCATGCATCAAGGGTAAATCGAATGATGAATCAAAATATACAGGTTGTTTCACAACTATCGCATTTCCTCTTAAGGACATATTCTACTTGAGATAATTTTGAGACGAAAATCCTAATACAAAAATATCGAGACCATAATAGTTTTTTAATTACAAACTGTCTTTAACCAATTATAATTTAAAAACTATTGTAGCCTCGACATTTTTATATTAGGATTTCCGTGTCAAAATTATCTCGTTCTTAAGAGGAAATTAGTAACGGTAGTTGTGAGGCACCCTATATGTATGGTGGTACACAATATTGTATGAATTTTATTTTAGGGATGCACTGGGTATCGAAATATTCAGTATTTAGTATTATCCGGTTGGATAGCTGGATATCATTTTTGTTTTTTAGTACCGATAATATTTTATATTAAAAGTTTGCGTCATTTGACGTTATTAATGTAAAATTTTATTCTTTTCAACTGAACTTCTTGCACAGTTCATCTTTCCTTTTTTTCTTTTCACGTTGGAAAGGTAAAGAAAATTATTATCGCTATTTTTCCCTTGCTTTCCTTTTCTTTTTGGAAGCCTTGTTCTAGATAACCGATAAGATATCCCATATCCGATATATCCGGTAATTTAACGATCCAGTGCATTCCTATTTTATTTGCTGCATCAGTATAAATTCTTTTATATTATTTTTTGTTTTAATGCTTGTCAAATATGTGATTTTATGAGTGCTTTCCAGCAAAAGACACAGATGACACAGTTAGTGAATCATTAAATCTGTGTTATTTGTCAATGTTAGATGGTACACAAACAAATTTAAGCAGTAGCCAATCCAACATGTTGATTTTCTTACTGTTTACATCTTATTGCCTTAAGTTTTTTGTGTGTCATGACCTTTAAATAAAGACGAAATGATCATTGTGTTATCCGTTATATTATGTTTCTTGATTGAAAGCATGTATATTTGATAGCAGCAAAATTTTGTTAATTCTGTAATTACTGCGAATAGAACAGGACTTGCGTTCTTCATATAGCATTCTTTATTCAAGATGATCTTTTAAATATGTCAAAATTTATTACTTGTCATCTTTCGAATTAATTATTACTTTCGAATTAATTATGCAAATCAATATACTTTTAGAGCTTCTGACAATAATGCCGTGTCCATTTTTGACCCGTTTGTCTGCAAACTACATCCGCAATTATGGATCATCGCTGATAATGAATTACCGGCAACATTGCCCAGTAATGTCAAGATTGTTCGATACAATGGCAAAATCGGAGGAATCTCAGCCGATTCCCGAGTCTATACAAAATCAATGTCCCTTTTTATCCAGAGAACGGGACGCTATTAAGAAAGCCAGTTTAGCAATGGAGGAAGATGTTATCAATCTAGGTAGCAAAAAGACAACGGAGCAAAAAGAGGAGGCGCAGTTCCCTTATGAGGAATTTTTCCATGAGCAACTTATGCGAAAGAAGAAGGATCATTCGTATCGAGTATTCAAGAAAGTCAATCGTCTGGCTGAAAACTTTCCAGTGGCTATGGAATACTCGTGGGGCGAGAAACCCATAACGGTATGGTGCTCCAACGATTACCTAGGAATGTCGCGTCATCCCGCAGTGATAAGCGCAGTTCGTGAAGCGTTGAACAAGTTCGGTGCTGGTGCCGGAGGCACGAGAAATATCTCGGGCAACTCCATGGGTCATGAACTGTTGGAGAAACGACTGGCGCTGCTGCATCAGAAGGATGCCGGTTTGCTTTTCACTTCCTGCTTCGTTGCCAACGACTCTACCTTATTCACGTTAGCGACAATTCTACCAGATTGTCATGTTTTCTCCGATGCCGGGAATCATGCCTCTATGATACAGGGCATAAGAAACAGCGGCGTGCCGAAGCATATATTCCGGCACAATGACGTGCAACATCTGGAGGAGCTTTTATCTAAGGTGGACAAAAGCGTGCCAAAGATTGTAGCATTTGAGACGGTACATTCCATGACCGGCGATATCTGTCCGTTAGAAGAGTTATGCGACGTCGCACATAAATATGGCGCGATAACATTCATTGACGAAGTCCACGCAGTCGGCTTATATGGTTTCTCTGGTGCTGGCATTGGCGAGAGGGATTGGGTACTTCACAAAATGGACATTATATCCGGTACCTTAGGAAAGGCTTTTGGCAATGTGGGTGGCTATATTGTTGGTTCCGCGAAGCTGATAGATATGATAAGAAGTTATGCAGCGGGCTTTATTTTTACTACTTCGCTACCGCCTACTGTCCTATACGGAGCTTTGACATCCGTCGAGATTTTGGCATCGGATGAGGGCAGATCATTGAGGACGAATCATCAGAAAAATGTCGCCTACATGAAGTCTATCCTTACTGCCGCCGGTCTTCCGTTAGAAACGTCGCCTTCTCATATTATTCCGATAAAAGTAAGCTGCGACTATAATAAATAGTTTAATTAATTGATCTTCATAATTAAACAATAATTATTGCTATAAAAATGATATTCTTTTTTAGATAGGAGATCCATTGGTGTGTAGTCAAATAGCAGACTATTTATTAAGAGATAAAGGACATTATGTGCAAGCTATAAATTATCCTACAGTTCCAAAGGGCGAAGAGAAATTGAGATTAGCTCCAACACCAAAACATACTCAAGCCATGATGGATAAATTCATGCGAGACACATTAGATGTTTTTCATCAGCTGAATATATTCAAGATAGTTACCAAATCGAACGATGCACCGTGTGCTATTTTGGTTCATTGACGAATGTATATAATATATGATTATCGTACACATAATCGTACAAACAAAATCTGTCTATTATAGATATCCTATATACGTCCTATTTAATAGTGATGGGCGTTATTTCGTTATCTGTTATTGAGTAATTCAACTGTTATTGAGAAATAACTTTAATAACCGTTATCAAATTTAAAAAATAACATTATCGGACTTAAATAATTATTTTCAAATTTTAAATTTTATGATTAAATGAAAGGTAAATAGTAATGTTTAAGATCTTACTGTTTAGCTTTTTTGTCAGTGGAAGCGCTGTCGGCGCTGTTGCTGTATTAGGACAATATTACATGCATTCGTTTTTGTCGTACGACAATTTTTCCTATTGCTATAGGACAAAGAGGTTCAAGATCCTCTCTGTTTTGCAGCCAATTAACACACTTGAAAAATTTGTCATATGACAAAACGGATGCATGTAATATTGACCTTATTCAATTAAGGACAATTATCAATTTTTTTGTATAAAATTTAACATTTATACAATATTTATTTGTTTGCACAAATTAATATATATTTTAAATAATGAAATATTTCAAAATAGATTTCTTAAAAAATGACTTAAATAATAAGAAATAATCCACAAAATGTGACTATTTACTAGGATGTAGGATATTATAAAAAATAACCGTTTAGCCCATCCCTACTATTTAAGGATATATATATAGATATTCTACATAAATATTTCTACATAAATATTTATTTATCTATCCTGTTTATTCATTGTGTTCTAATGACATTTAGAATTATCAATATATAAATCTTGCTATATTATCAACGTTAATAATTAACAGAGGTTTAAATAAAATGTTGACTAATGAATTTTGTTTATCTTTACATCTTATTAATTTTTTTTTAACTATATGTATATTTACCTTATAAAAATGTTTCATGTACGAATATAAATAAATACGTATAAACATACATAACGTGTATAAATATTTATAAATATGTATAATTATATATGAAATATGTCCATACATTCTTTTTTTGTAAAATAACTGTTTAATATAATAAAAATAATAGCAGTATTGAAAAAATATCAAAAATAATTAAAAGGATAATTTTTGCATTGTTTCTTATAGAAAAAATCAAGTTTAGAGAAATGTAAAAAGAATTATATATAATTGTATATACTTTTATATATAATTATATATGAGCAATTCTCTCTCTCTTTTACATTTCTCTAAACTTGACTTTTTCTAAAACAAAATATGCAAAAATTGTCCCTTTAAATATTTTGTACGTTTTCTTTCACATTATTACTATCATTTTTAATATACTAAAAAGTAAAAAAGTATAATGTACTAAAAAAGAAAAAAGATATATGAGATATGTATAGACATATTTCATATATAATTATATATGTTATGAACATTTATACATGTCTATATATTGGGTCGGGGAAAAAGTTTCTTCGTATTTTTTAATTCAAAATTGTATATACAATATCTTCGTCAAAAATAAATGAAATTTCAATTTAAAAAGAGAGTTTTAAAGCTTGAAATCTCTACTTTCGAAAAATTACTATATTTTTTCAGTTTCTGTGAGTTTGATAATTTTTACATCAAAAAAACTGCGAGCTGAAAAAGATGAAAATTTTTCTTTTCACTTTGAAGGTCTCTCACGTATCCAAAAAAAATTTACAAAAACTTTCGACTACCTATCGTAAAAGTTCGAAGCTTTTCGTAATGCTTGATAAGAAAATTATTATAGTTATACCTGTTGTAGTTATATACATAAGCTTAGAATAATTTTGTTTTGGATATAGTCGTTTCAATTACTTTCATCATATGATTGTATTCTGTAAATTTTTATATTTATATATATATATATATATATATATATATATTTGTGTATGAAAAAATTTACAGAATACAATCATATGATGAAAGTAATTGAAACGACTATATCCAAAACAAAATTATTCTAAGCTTATGTATATAACTACAACAGGTATAACTATAATAATTTTCTTATCAAGAATTACCACATTTATTCTTTATAAGAATTGCAAATTTATTTTTATAATTGAAAAAGTTTAATCGTGTTGTGTCTGACTTTTATAGAACTAACTCGCAATATAAATCCTCATTGTTGCTTAGTATCCTGCTCATTCATTTTAGATATTGAAAGAAAGACTTAAAATAAATCTTAGTTAAAGTCTAGATGTTAATTAAAAGATTTATATTATTATAAGTTACTTCTCAGCAAACGAGAATGAATTAAAATGGATTGAAATTTTTTTCTATTCGAATGCATATTTTAAATAGCGAATACTTTTTTTAGATTTAATTGGATTTAATTAGATTCAATTGGATGCAATTGGATTGAAAAACTGCATTTCCTATTCAAAATTTTGAATTGAACAGTATTCACAATGTGTGTGTTGTGCACAGAAAAAGTTAATGTTATTTTTAGATTGAAAAGCATAGAGATATGCTCCATGTAATTCCTATAAATGATTAAAATGCATTCATTTTAACATTCGTGAATCAATATTTCTGAAAATCTGAATCCATTTCAATTCATTCTCGTTTGCTAGGTCCTATTGCCAGTTCTTTGATTTATAAGGAGTCTTAGTTAGTTTGATTTGTTATATAGATTTATGCATTTGATTTCATCTACTTTTATACAATACTCCTATGGAAGGTTGGGAGAGTTGGAGGTGTCTTATATATCTATATGTTACTAGCTATTTTTTATTCCGTGTCAAAGTCAACACTTCCTACCTCTCCACCTCGTTCGGAGTTCGGATAGCTCTGTAACGTTATCACATATAGATCAAGCGCGCCGAGTGTCTTTCAGTGTTACGTGTCTCGTGTCTCGAGAAAATCTTAATAAGTAAGCAATTGAGAGTTCTTTGTGGAATCTTTTTTTATAATTTATTGTTCACGAGTGCTCTTGAGATGAGTTTATGTTTCATTACCGAATCATAAAAATGATTTGAAAGTTGGACAAATATGTTTGACTATAGGTTATGTTTTGGTTATTTCAACAATTCTTTTCTTATTGAAACATCTTACTAATTTACAGAAATGCTGTTCAAATGCTGCGTTCCGAATTGTAATGGCAATTAAACGGTCCAAAAGTCGCAACATTTTCGTTTCCAAAAAATGAAATGAAATGAAAATGGTTACATGCCATCTGCAGAACTTCCAACCGACAAACAATTCAAAAGTAATCAATTATTATAACTAATTTCTTCTTAAATTAAGTTCTAAGATTTAGTGTAAAATATATCTTTAGAATCGATATAATAACCAGGATCCATTTAAAAAAAAGTTTATTCTTTACATCTTTTCTTCTTCATCTATAGGTATATGAGCTATATTTCCGGTTGTCCGAAATTGAATAGGAAACTAATCACTACATCGAATCGAACTGGCAAACGGTTAACCGCACCATTGACACATTCATGATTGATCAAAGGTAAATGTTATGTCGTTTTACCTTGTTTTTATAATACGAGTATCAACTATTCCAAAACGGCTTCGCAATCGACATTTTTTTTGTTATACTACACTGTTGAGCCTAATTTTCAAAATGATAATTAAGATTTAAACATTTTTCTTAAATGTGTACCATAAATTTCTACTTCCTATGTTGAATCTCCTGAATGTCAAATCAATTGCCCAAATTAAAAAAAAAATTAGTTTTCTAGTACAATTCTCATACAATTTTTAATAACAGAGAATTATGAATATTGTGTGTATTAAAAACGTCAATTCAAATTCAGTATCCTTACAGCAAAGTAATAAGAGTGTCTTTTCTCAATTGCAATTATATTTGTACAGATGCTGTCCCAAGTCAGTTTCCAAATTGCCCTCGTTACATGACAACCAATGGCACACCTAAGCATCTAGCTTTCTCTAGAAACAAAGTGAATGAAATTAGAGCATGATTGAGCAAGTTATTGCTGGCAGCATCAAAATGGAGCAAGTGTTCAACGAGAAAATTGGATTTTCTGGTCTCGACGAACACTACACAAAGATAAAAAAAACGCATCGATCTGCAAAAGTGAATTGTTTCATGCAGGGACAACATTCTTTACATACTTCACATTGAAAATATTTCATACCCGAATGTGAAATGTTGTGTGCGAGTGTCAGAAGATTTCATTTTAAGATTGTTTTATGGATCGCGGGAGGTAACAAAACTAAACTTCATGACAAGAAATACAATTTTCCGTTCGTCGTGAGTTCGATCTTTGAAATCGAAGACATTCTCTATCAAGCGTTGATATCATTGATATCGGACAAAAAATAAGACTGTAAGCAATGGAGAACATTAATGCGTACATCGATATTTTTAATTCTTTGTTGGTGACATTACCACAGCGAAAGTTATCAAGTTGTTATCAAGTTTTTATTGCAGCAGATAAAAATCCTGAATACTTCGAGTAAAAGTGCCTTTCGATATTCGTAAGAAACAATCTTGTTTTGTGGATTACTGCATTCGATTTCTCCACATGCGTATAAATTTCTTAGCAATTTAAGACATTTATTGTTACCATCCTCAACGACAATAAAAAGAATGTGCAGTAACTTCTCCAGTAATCCTCAGCAAAACGAATCAATGTTTCCTCAGTATATGTTGAAACTGAATTTAAACTGCTTCGCGATGAAGATAAAACGGTAATTCTTATGATTGATGGAATTCATATAAAACTGTATATGATACGGATTATAAAGGCGGAAATATTGTTGGGAAAGCTTTTAATAGTGCAGACTGTACAACAAGTGCTCACGTTTTCATGGTAAACAGTTTATTATCAACGTACCGCAATGTTGCTCATATCTTGCCTGTAAAAATACTGTACGAGTACTGCAAAGTTTTTTTAACAGCGAATGAAACCACAACGTTTTCTAATTTAATAGACGCGAATAATCGAGGAAGATTATGTTATCTACACAAAGACGTTCTGACATGTGCAGCATACGCATTAGTTATCATTCAAAAATTACTGGAAAACGAGCGTGAATCAGCGCGAAGTTGAATGAAAACTCTTCTATTTCAAAGTTCATCTTACTTGAATTTTAAACTATTTTTAGGTCACTGTTGTCCGAAACTTGCAATATGAAACGTAATAATTAAAATATCACATACACTCTCGAATACTTTTTTAAAATAATTATACCAAACTATTATACAAAACAATTTTGTGAAACAAAAATAAATGCCGAACTTTAAAAGAATAAATAAAAGAAACAAAACAAAACAAAATAAAAGATTTTTTACGAATTATAATTTTCTTTAAATTTAATCCCTTTATCACTCTTTATCATTTCTTTATTAACCTGATTAATAAAATATTTGTGCATCTTCATAAAAAACGTGAAAGAAAAACTTCACTCGAACATACAATTTGTATATTACCGCCATATAGCGCGTACGCTATTTGGCGACAGCCAAGCCAGCCAAGTCAGCCAAGCCTCGGCCTACTAGTGATGACGTCACAATTTCAGTGGAGAGGCCTTTTCTATAGGTGTTAGTCAAGTCCGAAACGAGACCGACGAGACGTCGGTCACGTCGGACGTCGGTCATATAAAGGAGCAAAAGGAGAAGAACGTCATCTGCAACTGTCAATCACCTCTGCTCCAGGTGATTCTACGAAAAAGATGTGAATTTTGCTCTTCTACAGCGTCATCGACGAGCACACACGTGAAAATGCCCGTTCGATAATCAAAGATTACAGCGCAAATATCGCAAATACGACTCGTCTGAGACTCACTTCCTTCGACTGGTATGTTTATCGGCGGTCTATCACATATATAGGTTAGAAGTATGAAGAACTTGATCAGTATTTTGAAGATACTTTTCCTGAATCACGCGCGTGGACTGTCCTGCACCGTAACGATGACACTCTTGCTGTGCTATTGTCTTCATCCGGCACGATTTGCTTCTCACTATCCTTTCATTAAGGCGGAAAATATCTATGGCGAAATGGAGAGATCATATCCACCGAGAGACAACTCCTGTGTGATTTCCATCAGCGATAAACGGTTCTCCCAGTTATTCTATCCGGAGGAGCATCCCAGGGAGGACCCAGTGGTGATGGCACGTCGCCTCGGTATTTTACCAGGCGGCCAGTGGAAGCCACTTAATTGCCATCCTCTCTTCAACGTGGCTATTATACTGCCCTATCGCAACCGACAGAGTCAGCTTGCCATTTTTATGAATTATATACATCCCTTCCTGCAGTCGCAGAATCTGGATTATCGGATATTTGTAATTGAGCAGAGTCCAATGCGCGATTTCAATCGCGCTAAGCTTTTCAATGTTGGTTACGCCGAGGCCACTAAGATCAATGATTTCCATTGTTTTATTTTCCAAGATATCGACTTAATACCACAGAATCCTGATAACATCTACGCATGCACCAAAATGCCTAGGCATATGAGCTCAAGTGTAAATACTTTTCGATACAATCTACCTTATACTGGCCTGTTTGGAGGCGCAATAGCATTGACGAGGAAGCAATTTGAAAGAGTAAATGGGTTTTCCAATGTGTTCTATGGTTGGGGTGGAGAAGATGATGATTTCTACAGCCGTTTACAATCTAGAGGTTTTCAGGTTTTGTCGATTTAAATCAGTGTCAATTCTTATTTTTTCAAGTAATTCAAGTTATATAATTGGTTTTGTTCTACAGGTCACACGGTTTGGACCTGATGTAGCACAGTATTATATGCTGACACATAAGAAAGAATCTCCCAGTACTACGAGATTCGCAAATTTGGAAAGCGGCGCTCGAAGATATGATACTGATGGACTGAGCAATCTAGAATACAGAGTATTAAATCATCAGTTGCGACCATTATATTCTTGGATTTTAGCTGATGTATAATTTACAAGTATTTTATATATATATATATATATCTTATTTTAAAAATGAATGCTGACCATATAAGTTATTATCATAGCGCATTACGTATTTTTTAATATCGAAAAGTTTCATCTTATACAAAGTACATTAAAGCTATTCAAAATATGTATAATTGTTTTAGCATGCTGTGATAGAGCATTATGATTAAAAATTTTGCAAGAATATTTTTTTAACCATTTTTGTGTATTAAGAGTTTGAACAATTAAACTTGCAACAAATATTTTCTTGTATGTGAGATTAATTTTTTTTCGATAGTATTGGTAGCACACAATGATGACAACAGTAATAATAATTAATTAACAGATTGTACACAGATATAAAAAGAATATATAATAACATATTATATTATTGATAAGAGTTAAAGACTGTAATTATCAGATATATTTCTTATTTGGGCTCATTAAAAGCTCATAAGAAAAGGCAATACCATTTAGACACATGATATTCAAATGTATTGTCACTGCATTACATCATTTAATTTTATATTTTTGTGATATTTACCATATAAAAGAGTTGCAACTATTTAATGGTACAAATTTTCACATACATAGAAAGTACATTATTGTAATATTTGATCATGTAATATCTCATCCAAAGAAGTTCTGGTCCTTATGTTGTAATTTATAATAGAGCGTAGTATTTTTTGTACTGAGATTGTTCCTAGATACTTCTACTTTAGATATAAATTCTTTTTTATGTTATGAGATTTTATTATAAGAATCGATATTGCATATAGGTGCGTGCGTGCGTGCGTGCGTGCGGGCGTGCGGGCGTGCGTGCGAGCGTGCGTGCG